TATTACAAAATAAGAACAAATGTTGATATTCTAATATTTTTGGTTTTATTTCAGAATACGATAATAGCAACTAAAAGATTTATCATATTAATTAAAAAAAAATAACATAAATTATAATGAAAATAATAGTATTGTAGTTATAAAAATTTTTTTTATAATTTTCTTTCTATAAATTGATTTAACAAATAATTTACGAAATTCATAGATATTGAAATAGAATTAATGATTTAATAAGTGATTTTATTAAAAATATAGGAATAACAAATTAGAACTTAATCGATTTTCGATAAATATTTAAAATAGAAATATCTTCTTATTATGAGGAATCTCATAAACTGATGATAACCACTTTAATTAGCAGTTTAAGGAATGCGAACTATATTTATAATAAAACTGAGTTTTTATCTAATGAGGAACAGAATAAATGATGAACTTATTACAAAAATATATTTAATCATTAGTGGTTATTGAAAATAAATTGAAGGCTTTTCTAAGAAAAAAGATGAACAAGAAATAAATTAAGTTTATAAATATTATTTATGGTATGATGTTAATAAAAATTAATTACAATCATCTCTTTGAGAAATCTCCCCAACTATATCCATATTTTTGCATATGTTTAAGATACTTTTTAAAAGTTATTATCATAACTAAAATAAAATAACTAAACAAAAAAGGCCAATAGACAGGTAAATCGAAAATTTAAAAGTATGTTGCAAAGTTTGATAGGAATAAAGCAAAAATAATTTACTCCCATAATTATATTTCAGGCATAGATCTTATTAAAGGTCTATCGTCATTATGCTATGGAAGTTAAACTTGAAGAGATATTTGAATGTATTACTATTGACATCATCATCTTCATCTTCAATATCAGGAAGTCCGAGAGGTGTAAAGTATCTCAACAAAGATTAAATAATTTGGATTCCAAGCATATAGGAAACAACAAAATAACTTTGTGTTTCAAGAAGTCTGTTTATATAGAAAAAGAATAATAGGGCACAAAATATCCATCTTTTTCCAGGATGCATAATCCATCTTTTATAGAGAATAGAATATTACTTATCGATGATCCTTCTATATTTCATAGAGTATTTATGATATAATCTAGTGTACATTGGATCAACTTCAGAGTTCATTTTTATTATTTAATAAATAATTTATTTCAAGATTTCTATAAAGAATTAATTAGATGAAGAAATATGAATAATATGAATAGAAATGATTAATTGTTAATTTAATAACAATATGTGAATGTTTTCAAACAACTTGTTATTAATCATTTTCTTATCCAAATTGTGGGATATTATCTTGTTTTTAATTAATAGCAGATTTGACATTGTCATATCCATTGCTACTTAAGACAGGTGGTAACAATTGATAATCAAATCCTCCTCCCCCACATTAAGCATAATCTAGACCTTTTTCTTCCACTTCAGGAGGTACATTTAATAACCCCAAAATTTTTAATAAAAAGATCACTACTACATGTAATACAACTGACCATCCTAACCAAACAACACTTCCTAATAATTGAATACCCCATTATTTAGCACCATAACCATATAATATTCCTTTTTCTGTATTAAACCAACCTGGAAATTAAGCCCCAATAAGACCGCATCCTCCATGAATAGGGAAAGCATCAACTGGATCATCAACTTTAAATTTATGAATTAAAATTCCAAATGCCCAATAAGTTAATCCTCCTAATATTCCAATAACAAAAGCAGCCCATAATTCTATTCCATCACAAGAACCTGTTACAGCAACTAGTCCTGCTAAATTTCCATTACATATCATCACTAAACTAAACTTAGCTTTTTCATCTCTATTTTTATAATAATGTAAAAGCATTAATGTTAATCCTCCTGAAGCTCCAGCTATCATTGTATTAGTAGTTGCTCTTCCAGCTGCATAAGCCATAGTACCTGACAAAGCAGTAGTACTTCCAGCGTTAAAGAAAATCCAACAAGTATATAATGAAAGAGTTGATAAACAGATATATGTTGTATTACTTGGATTAAAATCATTTGCATATTTCTCATCCCATCTATTTTTTCTTGCTCCTAACATAATTGTCAATACAAGAGCTCCAACTGCAGACATAAAGTGTATTGTACCACTGCCCGCTAAATCTATATATCCTAATTCTTAAAGCCAACCTCCTCCCCAAGTCCAATGAGCACATATTGGATATATAAATGATGAAAATGCTACACTCAAAAAACAATAACCAATTATTGACATTCTTTCAACTGCTCCTCCAGATACAATACTATTTGCTGCAGCACCTACAGATGCTTACAAAACTAAATATATATAATATCCAAACTTACCCCAATGAGAATAATGCTTAGTTCCAGCAAAATTACTACCTGCATAGTAATCTGTTCCAGCAAATTAACCATGTCCCATACATATACCATAACCAACCTTAAATATCTATTTTCACTTTTACAAGCCACCAACAAATTATTGCTATACATGTATTCAAATACACCTTTATCATTATTGATTACATATTTTTATATCTTACACATCCACCCTCTAAAAATGCAAATCCAAGTTACATTAACAAAACAACGATTCTAATTTCATTATCAATAAATACCCTGCAAATTAAGTCCAAAAATAATCTATTGTATTTTCTAACAAACCCAATTTGTCATCAACTGAAAAATCTGTTGACATATTAAAATAATATTTCAGATTTTAATTTTTATACAATAAAGTCTTACATTGATATCCAATAAATAATAGATTTTATGTATCAATAATATTATATTCAAGGTATTACTCAAATTAATATAAAGAAATCAAGACTATAATATTCAAATATATATTAAATTATAAATGGGAAATTGTTTTGTATCAAAACCTAAAAAAGAAATCTAATCAGAAGATTAAAGCCCTGGAAATGGAGCTTTAAACTTATTTAAATAGAAGTAAAAAATAAAAGAAGATACTATTACTGAGTAAGTAAAAAATGTTGGCACAATGTTAAAATAAGATTCTAAACTTGCATAAGATGTAATATAAGGTTAGGAAGAAGTAAGTTTACAATTAAAAAATAGCACATTAAATAAAGAAACGAAAAAAAGAATAAGAAGTTTGTAAATGGGATCTTATAAAAAGATGAATTTGTGGAGAATGTAGAAAAAATAGAAAAAGAAAAGAAACCTCACGATTATTAGGTTATTTTAAACGCTCTTGGTTAACATTATTTCTTTGCTCATATTAGTGATTAGCACAAGTAATTATTTAATTATGAGCCAAGAGAAGACATTGTAATGAAAATGTTTTATTGCAGAGTAGCAGGAAATGAGTTTGTATTTTAGTAAAATGATCAAGCCAGTGCCTATTTTATCATTGATTAAGGTGTTTGCGAAATAATAATAAATGGGGAAGTAAAAAAATAACTCTCTACCGGAGAAGGTTTTGGAGAATTGGCTTTGTTATATGGTGCACCTCGTTCAGCATCTGTTAAAACTAAAGATGGTAATCTTTTTAATAAAAAGTTAGAGAGTTTTTTTTGGTGTATTGATAGAGGTACTTTTAGAGCAGCTGTTGAGGAATTAGTTTAAAAAGAATACGATGAAAATAGAAAATTTATTGATTCAATAAAATTTTTTGAATGGATGACAGTAGACTAAAAGGATATGATAGCAGGAGCGATTATCACATAGTAATTTAAGAAAGGATAAGCAATAGTAAATGAAGGAGATATGGCTAGTTCTTATTTCATTATAAAATCAGGAATGGTTAAAATAATGAAAGGAGGCAATGAGTTAAGATAAATGTCTGCAGGAGATTCTTTTGGAGAATAGGCTCTCTATTAGAATTCTGTAAGAGGCGCCTCTGTGATTGCAGTTGATGAAAATGTTTGTTGTTTAGCAATTGGAAGAGAAACAATTACTAAAATATTGGGAGATAAAATACAGGTGATTATGTATAACAACCTTTTGAGATGGAGTTTTGAAAAAAATCAGTTATTATGTAAATTAACAAAAATTCAAATTGAAAAAATCGTGACTAAGATTGAAACAGTAAATTATGAAGCAGATCAAAAGATTTATACAGCAGATTAAAAATGTGATAAATTAGTTATTGTTTTAGAAGGGAGGCTATGCAATGTAAGTATATTAAATATTGAAAATTAAGAAAGATAAAGAGATAGCTACAAAAGGATAAATTGTTGGAGATCAATTTTTACCAAAAAAAAATAGAGACAAATTAGTACCTTATGATATTTTTTTAAAAGATGGAGGCAAAGTTGCATAAATACATTTTGATGTATTTTTAGAATGTATAGGAGGCGAATTAGATTAGGTGATTCAAAAGAATGAAAATAATCATGAAGTGAAATATATGTAGAGATAAATATCAAAATAACAAGTCGATTATCTAAATTTAGAAGACATGATTCATATAAAAAAGTTAGGATAAGGATAATTTGGTTCAGTTTATTTGTGTAAAAATAAAAAGGATGGAAAATTGTATGCTTTGAAATGCATCATAAAAAATTAAATAGTAGAATAGCATTTAGAAAGTCATTTAACATAAGAGAAGACTGTACTAGAATAAATTTAATTTCCTTTAATGATGAGATTTTATAAATCGATGAAAGATGATAATTTTATTTACTTTTTAGTGGAATATATAAAGGGTTTGGAATTGTTTGATGTAATTAGAGATATAGGATTATTAAATACTTATGATTCTTAATTTTATGTTGCTTCTTTATTACTTTGTATAGAATATTTACATTCACATCATATTGTTTACAGAGATATAAAGCCAGAAAATGTAATGGTAGATCATCATGGATATATTCGATTGATTGATATGGGAACAGCCAAAATATTAAAAGGCAAGGGTAGAACATTTACTGTGATAGGAACTCCACATTATATGGCACCAGAGATTTTGAATGGAAAAGGTATAATAATAGTAATGCATTAAGGTTATTCTTATTATGTAGATCTATGGAGTATAGGGATTTGTCTTTATGAATTTATGTGTGGAGGAGTTCCGTTTGCTGAAGATGCAGAAGATCCATATGAAATATATGAAGAAATTACAAAAAAATAAATATCATACCCCAACCATCTAAAAGATAGGAAGGCTAAAAAATTTATTGATTAATTATTAAATAAAACTCCAGAAATTCGTTTAGGAGGGAGTTATGCTGCTTTGAAAGCAAATACATGGTTTGATGGATTAGATTGGGTATTTATGATAATTTAATTAACAATAGGATAAACTTATGGATAAAGAATTAAAGCCTCCTTATATTCCTCCTAAAGATAGATTAATTGGAGATAAAGAAATAGTATCAATAGAGAAACAAAATAAAAGTATTTAGGGAGAATTAAAGAATGTATAAGTTTTAATAATTATTAGGATCTTGGGGATAAAAACCTCTATAAGAAGGAATTAGCAAAGGATCCTCATTGGGATGAGAAATTTAATTGATGATTAAATATTCTTTATTATTATTATTAATGATTTATTATTGATAGTATTACGTCATGGGAGAAAGTTAAATTATGTCATTAGGATTGAATTAATAAACAATTTCTGAAATCAAATAAAATAAAATTCAATGAAATTGGCTGTGTTGTTAATAATAGGATTGTTGAGTGGTTTTACTTATTTAAATGATGAAGAGAATGATAGTTATAGTGAATTTTAGAATTGGAAACAATAATATGGTAAATAGTATAATGGTCAGCAAGAAGTTTTCCGATTCAAAAATTTTTAAATAAATCGAAATAAAGTAAATAAACATAATTGTGATGATAAAAAAACTTATATATTGAGAATGAACCAGTTCAGTGATTTATCAAATGAGGAATACAAATTACTTTATTTAACACATTATAGTTCAGAAGAGATTTTATAACAAAACTAAATAATAGATGGATAAAATTAAATAGATTAGAGCAGAAAAATATTAAATTCAGTTGATTGGAGAAATATAACACAAGTGAAAGATTAAGGATAATGTTCAGGATGTTGGGCTTTTGGAGCAGTAGGAGCTGCAGAAGCTTGGTTTTATGTTAAAAATAAAACAAAAGTAATATTATCAGAATAATAATTGATTGATTGTGATACTCAATCTTTTGGATGTAATGGAGGATATTAGAATTTAGCATTAAAATATATTGCTAACCATGGATTAAATGATGCTAAAATATATCCATACACATAGAAATAATCAATTATTTGTAAAATGGATTCAGGACCTTATAAAACAAATGGAGCATAGAGTGTGAGTTCAATAAATTTTAAATCTTATTTAACGGAATATCCATTAGTTGTACTTGTAGATGCTACAAATTGGTAATTTTATGGAGGGGGAATATTTAAAGATTGTAATAGATCTGTAAATCATGCTGTTTTAGCTGTAGGATTCGATGATAATGATAATTGGTTTGTTAAAAATTCTTGGGGTTCTTCTTGGGGTGACAAAGGATTTATTACTCTTGCCCCGGGAAATACTTGTGGTATTACTTCTTATGCATATAGAGCTATATGATATTTATATATAATTAATAATCTTTTTATAGTAATTCAATGTTTAATTAAATTAATTGGAGAGAAAAGAATGCAATTGAAACACTATTAAACTTAAATGATGATTACTAAAATGAAATTGATTATGATAGAGAAATTCAACGTTTATTCAAACCTCATGAAAATTCTATTAATCAGATTGTGTAAAAACCTAGATCTTAACTTCTTAAACNAATAATAGGATTGTTGAGTGGTTTTACTTATTTAAATGATGAAGAGAATGATAGTTATAGTGAATTTTAGAATTGGAAACAATAATATGGTAAATAGTATAATGGTCAGCAAGAAGTTTTCCGATTCAAAAATTTTTAAATAAATCGAAATAAAGTAAATAAACATAATTGTGATGATAAAAAAACTTATATATTGAGAATGAACCAGTTCAGTGATTTATCAAATGAGGAATACAAATTACTTTATTTAACACATTATAGTTCAGAAGAGATTTTATAACAAAACTAAATAATAGATGGATAAAATTAAATAGATTAGAGCAGAAAAATATTAAATTCAGTTGATTGGAGAAATATAACACAAGTGAAAGATTAAGGATAATGTTCAGGATGTTGGGCTTTTGGAGCAGTAGGAGCTGCAGAAGCTTGGTTTTATGTTAAAAATAAAACAAAAGTAATATTATCAGAATAATAATTGATTGATTGTGATACTCAATCTTTTGGATGTAATGGAGGATATTAGAATTTAGCATTAAAATATATTGCTAACCATGGATTAAATGATGCTAAAATATATCCATACACATAGAAATAATCAATTATTTGTAAAATGGATTCAGGACCTTATAAAACAAATGGAGCATAGAGTGTGAGTTCAATAAATTTTAAATCTTATTTAACGGAATATCCATTAGTTGTACTTGTAGATGCTACAAATTGGTAATTTTATGGAGGGGGAATATTTAAAGATTGTAATAGATCTGTAAATCATGCTGTTTTAGCTGTAGGATTCGATGATAATGATAATTGGTTTGTTAAAAATTCTTGGGGTTCTTCTTGGGGTGACAAAGGATTTATTACTCTTGCCCCGGGAAATACTTGTGGTATTACTTCTTATGCATATAGAGCTATATGATATTTATATATAATTAATAATCTTTTTATAGTAATTCAATGTTTAATTAAATTAATTGGAGAGAAAAGAATGCAATTGAAACACTATTAAACTTAAATGATGATTACTAAAATGAAATTGATTATGATAGAGAAATTCAACGTTTATTCAAACCTCATGAAAATTCTATTAATCAGATTGTGTAAAAACCTAGATCTTAACTTCTTAAACTTATTTGTCCAAAATCAAATACTAACTTAAGTTTTGAGTTTAAAGGTAAATCACTGGATAAGTAATCAGAAAGAATTATTGTACCAGATTAATACAGACCAAAATATTTATTATAATAATTAAAAACTCAAAGAAATCTACGTCATGTATCAGAACATCGAACTGTTAATGTACCAACAATTTAAATTGTTCAATCACTCTAAACTATAAGTCTGATTGAAAGAACAGGTCTAACTTAAATGAAGAAGCAAAGATAGAAAGTTGTTTAAGTACCTAGATTTATATTGAAATCAAGATAAAAGCTATGAAAATAACTATTATTGATAACTTATTTATAGATATCAAAAAGTATTATTTTATCTTTATCTTTTATTCAGATGCTATTTCCTCCAAACTTCCAAGCTTTAATAACTAAATTACCTTCTAATCCTTCTGTTATTACTTTTAGAGTATTTTCTTTGATCTTTAATTCTTATCTTAATCTCATAGAAGTAATTCTAGATATATTTAAATTTGACCATCTTATTTGAATAGTTGTACAATTCAATCATAATTGACTCATTTAATCTTTAAAAGTTAATTTTACATAAATCATAAGACTAAGATTTATTTATTACTTTAAGAGAACTAAAAAATGGAAAATCTTATTTAAGCTATTTTTAATTATTTGAGATGAATATGGATCTTTATAAGATTATAATTAATTTTAAAAAGATATGATATAACTAATCACAAATAGTAATTTTATAATAATTAAATCTAAAAATTTGCTTTACTTTATTGAGTTCATCTTAATCAATAACCGTATTTTTTAATTTAGTCATTGAATATTGAGTTTAGCTTTTCTTATTTTATTTTTACTTCAAGATCTCTCAATATCAACTTAAAGATACCAAATCTATATATCGAAGAAATTTTTTTAAAATAGACTCCAAATTATAAGAAAAAGTAATCTACCTTAACTAATATTTTAAGCCCAATTATGTTTTATGAGTCTTATCAATTTTTTAGACATTAAATAACAAAGTTTAGGTTACTATGCACATTTTCATAACATCAGAAAAAGTCAGCATAATATAGCATCTCTCAAATTAATAAATATTATTTGCTTTTTATTCAATGTATATTAGAAATAGTATTGATGAGCTTAAGCATTAAAATCAAAATTTCTTTTTTATTCTAATTATCTCTTAAAATAGGATAAATTTAAACAAAATTATATTTTCTGTTTCTTTTGTTGGTTTCTATAAGGGTTGTTTAACTTACTAAGATCTTGCAATAACTTTTCATAAATAAAACAATGCTAACTAGTAACAATTTTTCTTGTCTTACTATAATCATTATAATAATTAATAAGTAAATTTAGATTAACTTATAATGTAATAAATAAATTCTTTCATAAGTTTGTAGGTTAATGTGTTTCTTTAAGTACTGGTTGTCTTGACTACTCATAATGAGTAGGATATTATTAAGTTTATTCAAAATATGATTATGACTCAGGAAATCTAATTAATTTATTATATAATGATAACTCTTATAATAAATCTATTCTAGCAAAATTGTGTTACTTGAGCATAATTTAAAAATCTTATAATAATAATATTTGCAAAAGAATAATGGAATTATTTTATTAAAATTTATAATGAACTCTTTAATCCCTTTAGCTTTAGTAGAATCAGACAGATTAGATGAAATTAGTTCTATTAACAACAATTTAAGTGGAATGTAAATAAACTAAACTATTTTAAGAGTTAATCAACATCGCAATGATTTTTCATTTTAAGTTAATAATAACTAAGCCTCAATTATTCCAAATGATTCATTAGCTATTTAAGTGATGCCATTAATTAATAGGACAAATACAAATGAACAATAATATACTAACCCAAATAAATATATTAAAGAAAATAAACTAAATAAACGAGATGCTCATGTAAAAGTTACCGTAATTAAAAATATGGTTGGTTTAGAGAATAATTTGAAAAAAGAATATTTTATTAATGATCAAGGGTACAATTTTAAACTAAAATAAGACTAGTAGACACTAAAAAGAATACAGACTCTCAGGATATTATGATTGGACGTTAAGAGAAGTTTGAATTTCAAGGATAATGTATATTCCCAAATGATATTGGTTTTTTAATTATTTTATTATTAGTATTACACGAATAAGAAAGATTAATTTCACGTATTCATTGTAAATTAATTTGCAAAAATTTTTTCAGAAAAGATCCTTATATTCAGCCACTTTATAAAAATACTTTGCGATATTTAAAATACAAATTAACTCATTATATACTTTTAAAAATTTAAAAATTTCTAGAGTATTTCATTTAATTATTATTTCCTAATTAGGGATCCAAAAGAATGTTATGTTTAAGATATTGGTAGTGTTTTTGGAACATATATTCGAGTAGATAAAAAGTATTAGAAATTGTAGAAAAGCCATACTTATAGCATAGGAACAGATACTATTTTTTAAATTTAAGAATGCCATGTATTCGAAAAAAATTAAAAACCCATTGATGAGCATTTTGATAAACTCATCGATTATATTAAGAATAGTTTTCTTAAATGTAATATTCATGGTTTATCACATGAATCTAAATCAAATGAATCCTTATATTAAATATAATCAGAGAAATAGCCTATAGAAATGACCTGGATTTTAAATCAATTGAAATAATATAATGTTCCTTTTATTTTGTTATTATTTTCTGGATCAGGATTGTAAGGGTGTTATCTTCATTATTTTTTCGCTAAAGATTGTAATATAGAATTTTCTATGGGAAGGTGTAATGAAAATAATATCAGAATAAATTCTAATACTATTTCGAGAAAATAAACTAGAATTAGATTTAATAAAAAGTAGACAATTGAATATTTTATTTTAGAGAAAATAAGTGGCAAATAGCAGATGGTTCATAAGATCGAGAGTCAGCAAATGGAACTTGGCTTTAATTATCTACTATTGAAGAAAAAGAATAGAAATTAGAATCACAACCGCATCCTTTAAAACATTTATCTGAAATAAAAATCAATGATTATATCTTGAAGGTAGAATTATTTGAAGCTAAGTATAATATTTGATATCATATTTAGGAAATAAAAAAAATCTAGCAATAAGCAATTTTAATAATCCTGTAATTGATATTAATTTTATATATTTGATTTCATAATATTATCCTAAAGAATCAAATGATATATTATATTAATCGTTTATCTGTATAGAAATATTATTAAGTTAAATAATGGATGATTTTTTTGAGGATGAGACAACTTAAGTCGTTTCTAATGAGGCCCCATAAGGTGATTTTAGCCAATTTTAATAAGCTTAAGTAAGTGATATTGAATATAATAGTATGATGTATTTAGTGCATTTTCTAATGTAACACCTGTTCAATCTTAGCAATCAGTCGTATACGTGGTATTTAATAATTCAAAAATAGAGTCCAGAATAATAGATTAGAAAAGATAAACTAAAAATAATTGAAGAGGAAAGGTTGGCTTTAATAAAAGAAAAGGATTAACAAGAGAGGATATTGAAATAATAAAAAAAATAAAAAGGTCAGGAGTATTTGCAATAATTCAAAAGGTAAATTGAAGAATTACGTGAAATAGTTAATTAGAAACAGATATTTAATAAAGAAAAGTTTTGAATAAGTAGAAATAAGAAATTTGGTTTGAAAATTAAAAGAATCATAGTTAGTATGTAAGAATAGTATTTCTATAAAGAAAAATTCTTGGGACTAAATTGCATCCAATATAGCTTTAAAGGATGGTGAGTATCCAGGATAAAAAGATGTGACTAAGATGAGATAAGCAATTCTTAATAAGAGAAGCGATTTGACTAAATGAAGCCTAAGATTTTATAATATCAATATATATTTATAATGCTTATTCTTTTATATTGTTTTTTTTTCTATATGAAATCATGTGTTTTATAATATGAAAGTTGGAATTTGGATAATTTGGATAATTTGTAATATTTATTTTTATTTTTTAATTAGAATTTATTTATGTATAATTATAGATGTAGATTAATAAATGATTAAGATATAAGCTATGATTATATTTGAGGATATTATGGAATTAATAATTAGTAATATTGAATTAAATAGGATAAAAAAATGAAGGAATATATAGGGAGTAAAGGTTAAGAAATATGATAAAGATATCTGATATTTGATATATAGATTAATTTGATGATGATTATAGTTTTATATAAATTAATTAAGATTGTCTGTGTTGTTATTCGTTATATAATTTGAAAAGGATGGTTGTAAGAACCAATAAATGTTTAATTTATATCATATAAGTCAAGTAGAAATTGTAACATTATATTGTATTAAAAAGGCGCGAACTTAAATTGGTAAAAGAGTGAGATTGGAAGAAATATAATAATAATATTAAATCTTAATTTGTGAATGTTAGGAAGACGTAGTCAATAATAAAAATCTAAAGGGGAGCAGAATTCAAATTGTAATGGAAAGCAAGTAATATCATTGGATAAAGTGATGAATACTAATGAAGATTAAAAATAATAGAAAACAAAGAAGTAATAGAAGGTGATATCAACAAGAAAGTAGAACTCAACAAATACTGAAGAATTATCTGGAGTAAGTATAAAGGAATCATAAAATGGGACATATAATTTAAGATAGTATACTCGAAGAAATTATTTGGATTTTGGTAGTGAAGCAGGTGGAGATGATAACAAAGATATAGATTTTGGAGTGAAAAAGCAATTAAACAAAGAAAGAAAGAATAGTGATTTAGATATCAATGAAACTATTGAATATGACAAATTACCTAAAAATAAGTAAGGATTACTAAAACTACTATCAAAAGTAGAAGCAAGTATCGAATCTTAAAAATTAGAATGGTTTAAAGAGTAATCAATATATTCTATAAAAAAATAGATAAAATGAATTACCAACATTGATTAGTTCTGTCCCTGAAAACTCTATACCAATAAATGCTGATGTTACATCATTTAATTTTAAATCTTTGATTGCTTCCTAATAAAAAATAGCTGGCAAATTATTTGATGGTATTATTACTCTAATATTTATTTAGCAATTATGATGGATCCACCTTGGTAATTGTCTACATCTTAACCATCTAGAGGTGTTGCTATTGCATATCAATCGCTTAAAGATGATCAATTAATGGAATTACCCATTCCTTTATTATAAAAAGAAGGTTTTCTATTTATATGGACAATCAATGCAAAATATCGTATTGCTGCCAAAATGATCAAATAATGGGGTTATCAATTAGTTGATGAATTAATCTGGGTTAAAAAGACAGTTAATGGCAAAATTGCTAAAGGACATGGCTTCTATCTGTAACATGCCAAAGAAAATTGTTTAATTGGTTATAAAGTAATTTTATTTTTAAATCTAGGGAACCAACAAATTAAATTATTATTTAAAAAGTGATGTTATCTGGAGTGAAAGAAGAGGTTAATCATAAAAACCTGAAGAAATCTATGAAATCATAAATACTATGGTTCCAGGAGGTCATTGTTTAGAAATCTTTGGTAGAAGAAATAACCTTAGAAATAATTGGGTAACTATTGGAAATGAATTATGATTTCACATATAATTTTGAGTAATTATTACCTAATCTTAATATATAATTATTTCCTAATCTTACTATACAATTAGCATTCCTATATTTCTAATTACATTTGTTTATTTTCAAAATCACAATATAACTTTATTAATGATTAGAATATTCTATTTTTATATTACTTATAATATCTGATAATCAATTTTTATCTAATTATGATGTAGGCATAGTTCCAAAATATCTATTATTCTATCCATAAACATTATCGTAAATCATTTTATGAAAAAATCTTTGATTTTATTTTTTTTATATAATAACCACTAAAATTAATATATTTAAATAATCAATGTTAATTGACATTATAATAATCTATTTTGATTAGCTTTAAACACAATTAAGTCAAATCCTTTATATTTCAAACTATATCTTTGTTTTGATACTCAAATTTCCATTATAATAAGAAGCAAATACATCAAATTTAATAATTAGACATTTCATCCTTAAATTGTTATCAATATTTAATTTACATATTTATATTAATTAAATTTGATATCGACTAATAAAAATTAAATTATATATTAAATAATTGAATACCTATGGTTTTAATAAGGAAATAGCTGGGTTTGCTTTTTTTTATTTTATTTTTATTTTATTTTTATGTATATTTTGAGAACATTACCATAAATTTTTTGTATCAAAATTGTTTGTTTATTATCTCTTTATATTGAATTCATTTATAAAAAATGGTATGATTTGATTTCGACAAAAATTTAAGCCTTAAAATCTTAATAAATTATAAAATAAAGGAAGATAAAATATAATAATTGCATAATTAATTTCATAGGTATGATTATTTTCATCAATTTAATCATTATATATTAATCAAAATAGTTTTGACATACAAATTCTTATTTCATTTTTTAAATTCGGTACTAAATAGAAAAAGAAGATAACGTCATTTAATTGAATCAAATAATTTTCAAATTTTTTTTTTAAAATAAAAATGTTAGAAACCTTAATAAAGAATTAGAGATGGAGATAAAATTGTCATATTCTAAATTCTTGTATTGTAAAAAATAAAATTAGATTTTTTACTTAAAATTATTCATATAATGATTTAAAAAATATATAAAATAATCATCCCAAACTTGATTTCTTTGCTAAATGTATTTTGGTATAAGAGTCATTTCTTTTATTTGGTTTTTTAAAGGGTTAAGGACTTAAAATGCTTTTTGAGTTTTCTTTTAATTTTTCTTTGTTAATGTTCTGTTAAGGACTAGTAAAAGGTTTGAATGGACAGTTTTATATTTCTTAATTAATTTTACATTGATTTTTGACTTTGTTAGTTTGTTTTATCTAATTTAACCATCTTATTTATCTTTAATAAAATTCTTCTTTTTTTATTGGAACTAAATGATGAGATGTATGTTTGATAGCCATTTTTTCCATAATTTTATCAACACTAGGAACTTATTTATTTGCAAAATAATTTCGAGGGCTTGAACGTGCGGAAGATTTGAATCCATTTTATGATTGATTGATAACATTCAAATCTAATGGCATAAATATTTTGGATTTTTATCTCTCTTTTTAAGCTTGTAAAAGATTGGAAAAGTTTTAGAAATGCTAATTTAATGGCGTTGAATTAGTCTATTAATGTGCATTTTCTTCTTCCCCTATTATAGCATAATCATGTATGAACTACATACAAAAATATTTTAACAACTATTATTTTTATATATAAAATTTTATGTTTTATGTTCATTAAGATAGTATTTTTTCAAGTTCCTCAAGATCATCAAATTCATGTTTGAGAGGAAGTTTATCAAGCCAAGCATCTTATTATTTCTAACTTTTCGATTCTTATTTGTTGTTAGTATTGTTTAAATTTGTAAAATCCAAAATAGAATGGTTGTCATTTTCATCAAGAAGAATCATGGATTCCTCATAAAACTTTCTTCTCTTAGGTTAATCTAATTAATCTAAGAACTATTCTAATTCATCTATAAAATCTTAATCATTAACTATGGTTTTCTTTATTGGAGGTCCTGGGTTATATTTACTCATTAGGTCTAATAGATTTATATAATTTATGCTTTCGTTAATTCTACTTTGGTTAACCAAAGAATGAAGTAACAAATTATTTTAAGTTTCATCTTAATCTCCCATTATATATAATATTAATTAATTAAAAATCACCCTTTAACTTTCTTAATTTTTTTTCCCTCCAAACATAAATTTAATCCAACAGATGCAGGCTTTTCTAATACAGATTTAGCTTTATATATTCTTTTAAATTTTCCTGTATCACATTTCTTATCATTTTCTCTATCAATAATTACTTTAATTAAATCTTCTGAAACTTGTTTGACTAATTTTTCAGTAACATGCTGAATATAATATTATTTTATATACTGTAGAATATGAAAAGTCTGGACTACTATTAATTTCGATCAACCAAACATGAAATTTATCATCAATCATAAAATCATAACCTATAATCTCATGTGAATTTTTTCTTTATTCTACTTGATCTTAAACACTTTATAATGACCAAATGATTGCTTATTCAATTTAAGGTCTAATGATTTCCATAAAGTTTACTTAATGAGTTTTCTAAGATAATTTCAAATTATACTACCATTAAATAATCACTAAATTATTCTTAATTCCACATGTTTCCTTCAATATCTGATTTATAGAAATTTTCTCCTTTTTTTTAAATAGAATTATTAGTTAAATGAGACATTTTATTTTCTAAATCTTTAGGATCATATTCTTCAGCTGTAAAACGAAGATAAGCTTCATCATAAATCCAAATAGTTAAAGGATTCCAATCAGTAATTAAAACCCATTATCTAATATCCATTTTTTTTCCAAGAACAATTAATGGTTTTTCTATATATTTTTAAATAATCCATTAAGCTCCTTTAGATGCAACATGATCTTCAATTTCAACTAGATTTTTATAACATTGAATTCCTCTTCCTCTTGATAATCCAGCTGGTTTTACAATCCAAATATTTTCAACTCCATTTAAATAGTATTAAGGAAAACGATTTTTAAATTATTATCTTAAATAGAATAAAAAATTACAAGATATCGATAATTTATTATGTAAATTCATCTACATCTTGAATTTTATCTTCCTATTCTTTTTCTAATTTATTTTTTTTCTTTTTTTTTAAAGTTTTAAGTTCCCCAATTTTAGCCAACCAAGCTTAGTGTTTTTTTTAAGCTAATGCTTAAACATTTAAATCATCTTTAGAAAGTATATCCCATTCTTTCTATGTAATGACAGCAGTCTACTTTTATTAATCAATTAATTCATTAATATCTTATAATATTTTTCTACATACTGACAATGCTATAATAGCTTAAGGTTTAATTTTTTCAATTAAATTTGCATCTTATTTTTTAAATAAATGTACATACATTTTTAAGATAGCTTCAGCCTAAATAGTTAATCATATTTACTTTAGATAATTTAAATTCTTCTCTAAAATTAAAAAAATCTTCTTCATCAGACAAATCAAATGCTCTTGGATAGAATGCATTCTTATCAACATTATTAAACCATATCAAATTATTCAAAGACTTACATAATCCAACTTTAGTAGTTAAACATATCATCTTAGCAAAATGATTAACTATTTAAAAGTCTTATAAATTATTATAATCTATTTCTGAATTGTGTAATGTGAATTTGAAATCAAAACATGGACTTCCAGTATCTGGATTCTTTACCCAACCTCTTTATTATAATGCTTTTGCTATATCACCATAACCACCAACTATTATGAACACTTTAACCGCATCATCTATACGTTATTTCTTTTTCCATTATTTCAAGTCTGTAATAAATGGATATTTCTTCAATTTAACTTTCTAAGTATCTTAATCATCTGATCCACTATCTTATTCTAATAAATCATCTTTAGTAACAAATTATGCCACTTCAGACAATTAATTTAACACTTTCTATTTTACACTTTATTTTATAATCTCTTATCTTTAAATCATTTCTTCTTTCTTTTATTTTTCTTATATTTATCTTGTCTTTATAGATTCCAAATATCTTTTTATACATTTATTACACTTACTATTTCTATTTCTCTTATATTCTTATCTTTTATTCCTGCATTAAATCCTCTTTTTTTTAACTTGATTATCTATTCTTGCTTGATTCTGGAGTATTGATACTTGGTAATGACACTTATTATTTGATTTCTTTCTACTCTTCTTTCACATATCGAGATTTCAATTTAGCTACCAAATCTTATTTTCTCTTTTAAGAGATCTCTCTCTCTTCTAACTCTCTCATTTTCTTCTCTCTTAATTATGCAATAATGTCCTAACTTTTAATTATATATATTTACTAAATTACGAGTATGAAAGTCTTTTTTTGTATTTTATTCATCCATTTAATAATTTTACTTATATAATATTACTATTTCTTTATTTTCTCATTTACATTCATTAACATTTTCAAATTAATTTATAACATTTTATTTTCCATCACATTATCTATTATGATAATATTGAATTTTTTAAATCAAAATTTTTATTTGTAAGAATTCAAAACTAAATATTTTCAATCAAAATATCTTGATTACACATTGATTATATGAGATAATACATGAAAATATCTAATTGACTTGTTATAAATAGTTTCTTTTATTTAAATCACTTTCTAGCTATATTTTAATCTTAAAAAATATACCAAATTCCAATAATCAATAGCATAAATATATAGTTTGGAAATTAAGAAATTCATAAAATTTCGAATAATATATGGATAAATTAAGATTATGATAAAAAATTAGTATGACTAATAAAGATTAAAAATTAATTAAAAATGTTGATAACTACTATTATTGGAAAAGATTTTGTACTGATATTTGCCACCTATGATTCATAAAATAATTAGAATAATTCTTTGAAGATTTAATTGGTATTATGATTAATAAATAATGTAGAAATAAACTAATTATAAGTAATTTATAAATATAATAGATAATTAAATCCTCAAATCATGAATAAAATCATTCTAATTATAAGTTGAGCAAGCAAATTAAGTAAATGAATAATTTTATACAATAAATAGAATATTTAATGATCTATTCATAACAAATATCTGATTTTTCATTACTGGAATTTTAGTTAAATATATTATATATATCATTTGATATAATTACTATCTTTAATAAAGAATATATAAATTTGAATGAGTCATAAATTTGATTAATTATATAGATAGATAAAATATTAGTTAACAAAAATGAATAATAATTGTAATATGAATTATATTGATTATTGTTAATATTGAGATAAAATTTATTAATACATTTATATCTAAAGAGAGAAATGAACTTAGGGAACATTCAAATGAAATTTATGGTAATTAAGCTGTTTAGGTTGATAAGGATAAGAATGGCAAGGTAACTTGAGTAATTTGTAAGATCAGATTAATGAAAATATATTATGTTCTTATTTATAATAATCATGCTTGATTTGTGTATTCTTTTTGAACAACAACTTTGAATTCATCCCAACTTAATGATCCATCTTTATCTTTATCAGCATATTCAACCATTTCTCTTAATTCTTAATCTGTATATCTTTCTGAAACCAAATCATTTATTCTTTTGAAATCCTCGTAAGTTACTTTACCTTATCCAGAGGAATCAAACTCCTAATATAATTTTTCAAGCACTTATTCATCTTCTATTGTACTAATTTAGTAAATAAATAAAAATACCCTGAGAATCCAAAAATGTTAAGAAATTCTTCAAAATCTATTAAGCTAGATCCATCTTAATCAAGATCTTGAATCATGTTCACTATTTCTTCTGCTGATTATTCCATTCCTAATGCTATGATGGCATTTTTCATTTCATTTGGACTAAATTAAGATACAAATATTACGAAATAGATCCGCTCTTGTCATCATCAAAGATGTCAAAGCATTCTTTTATTTTTAATACTTCTTCCTTGCTAAGTCCTGGTTTAACATATTTGGATGGATCAAATCCACTTTATTGTGGTTGAACAGGTTATTAAACTGGAGCAGGAGCTTTACCTTTAGCAGGTGCTGGAGCAGGAGCAGGAGGTTGATTTTTAGATACTTATTACTATGTTGGTTAAGCTGCTGATGTTTATCTGGATTGATTTCTACTCATTTATTTTAAAAATAAAATTAAGGATACACAAACTTATCACTATTATATTATTATTTTAATATTCTTCTTTCTTTTAGAATTATTTATTCATCATTCATCTATTAGTTTACATCTTACCATTTCCATTTACCTTCTCTAATTTTCTAAAACGGAATATATTCATAATTATTATTACAAGTTTTATCAATATAATCTAAATTATATATAACTGATTCTTACTAATCAAATAAGTAGGAATAATATCATTTTATTATTATTTTAGTTAAAATATTCAAATCATATTTTTATGGTATCAAAACATATAATAAATATTTGTAAAATTACATCAGATTGAA